GTATGAAAAGACAAGTTATTTGTAAATGACATGTCTGTTAACTGGAGAAAACTTGCTAGATTTTTATGTTACAAAAATAAGTTATTGATAGAATATGCATAAAAACTTTAATATACAAAATTAGAAAATGCCAGAAGAAAACATGAATGCCTATTTATACAGATACATTTTTATGTTGACAAAGACCTTCCTATGAATGCATTCTGCAGGTTGATTTAGAAAACAAAAATTAAAACTCGCCTTACATCAGAAAAAAATTAACAAAATAAAAGACAACATACTTGCAAAATATTCACATTATATACATAAATATAGACATATATTATTTGCAATGAAAAATGTATCTTCCTTTTACACAGAATTTTTTTAAAAAGAAATAAAAACTATAATTTAAAATTGGTCAAAGTACTTTTTCCAGATCTACTAGTGATCTGGAAAATCAGTAGTATTTATACCACTGCTTAAAGTTTAAGTTGCTGTTAACTTTTTAAATAAACAATTTGGTGGTGAACATCACTCTGAAAAAGGTATGTATCCTTTACCCATTAATTCCATTATACTAAAATATTTTCAGGAAATAATTAGAGATGCATACAATTCATTTTTCTCAGCACTGCTTCCAATAGCAATGTATTAAGGAGAGGGCAAATAAAGGATTTTATAAAAAAATTTCAGTGCATCCATAGGATGAAATTATATGTAACTACTGAAGGTGGCAATAGATATGGATGTATGTTGACATGGGAAGATGTACTTTGGTATATGAGGTGAGAAAAAATCGATTTGATTATACATACACACACAGAGAATGGTCTTGTGGTACCTGAAAGTATACATAAAATGTGATACAATTTTGTTATTTTGGGACATTTGTATTATGGGTGATTTATTTTCCTTTTTCTTATTGTGATATCCACAGTGAGCATGTATAACAGGTTTAGTAAAAGTTTATTATTAGTGAAATAATCCTAGGTAAGAACAGGAATATGAATCTTGAACAGATAAAAATAAGTTTTTGCTTTCTATTAATTTATTTTGTGAATTGGCATCTTCTGCCAAGGTTTAGCCTCTTCAGAAATAGAGGGAATCTTTTAATCTGTGCTTGTGATTGTATTGTGTATGCATTTTACACATGTCTTTTATTATGGATAGATTTATTACATACACGCAAACAATTATAATTTAATCATTTTGTTTTAGTGGTGTCCTTATGAAAATAAAAAACAGCAAATATAAATCATTTCTATTGCACAAATGTTACTTTACGAGTTTTCTTTAAAAATATTGAACTCCTCAAATATATTTATGTCTTCTTTTAATCCATTTATTCAGCAAATGTAACCTGAATACCCATTATGTATTCTACTGTCTCTCAGGACCCTTCCAAGCTTAAAAACTTCATGTTTACCTGCCCAGTCTGAACAAATCGAGAGATTTAAAATTTGCCTATTAGGACTTATCAAAATTGAAGCTTTTCCTCCCTCCTTTCAAACAAAAGCGTTTCTGAAGGTAGAAATTTGTAAAAGATAACCTTTTAACTACCCTTTTGAAAATGTATAACCGTGTTTTCCTTTTCTTAATTTCAACTTTTATTTGAGATACAGAGGGCACATATGCAGATATCTTACATGGGAACATTGAGTTGATGGTGAAGTTTGGAGGGCAGATCGCATCACTCTCATCATGAGCATAGTACCTGATAGGTAGCAGTTTAACCCACTCCCTCCTAACAGTCTTAAATACCAATATTAATCATTGATAATAATATCTGATTTACATATATCATATAGTCTAAATATTGAATAAAATGAGCCATGCTTATTCATTGGAATTTTGATGTTTCTTTGGCTTAAAGTTTTCTGAAATCCAAGTAAGAATAGTTTTTTGGTAAAAATGTGTCATTGGTATCTCAACCTTTTTTGTTGTTGTTATTTTTTGGGTTGTCTTTCTATTTTTTATTTCTATGGGTACATAGCAAGTGTACACAATATATTTATGGGTACATGAGATATTTTGATACTCGTATGTGATGCATAATTAGCATATCAGGGTAAATGGGTATATCTGACCCCTCAAGCAGTTATCATTCTTTGTGTAACAAACATTCCAAATATACGTTTTGGTTATTTTAACATGTACAATAAATTATTGTTGACTATAGTTTCCCGGTTGTGGCATCCAGTGCTAAATCTTATTAATTCTATCTAAATACATTTTTGTGCCAGTTACCCATCCCCACTTCCACCTTCCCCCCAATCTCACTACCTTTCCCAGTAAGTATTGTTCTACCGTCTATCTCCCTTAGTTCAATTGTTTCAATTGTAGCTTCCACAAATGAGTGAGAACATGCAAACTTTGTGCTTCTGTGGCTGGTTTATTTCACTTAACATAATGTCCTTCATTTCCATCTATATTGTTGTAAATGTCAAGATCTCATTTTTTTATGCCTGAATAGTACTCCATTGCGTCTGTGTAACACTTTTTCTTTACTCTTTCTTCTGTGGATGGTTAGTTTTTTTCCTCAAATCTTGGCTGTTGTGAATAATGCTTCAGTAAATATGAATGTGCTCATAGTTCTTCAATATACCAATTGCTTTTCTTTGGGGTATATACCTACCAGTGGAATTGCTAGATCATAAGGTAATTCTATTCCTAGTTTTTTTAGGAACTTCAAAACTATTCTCCAAGGTGGTTGTACTAATTCACTTGGGTGGTTGGGAACGTGTCTGTACTGGGGACAGATGACTGACACTCCACGTAGTTTGTTTAATGGAAGGAGGGAAACAGCTCCTACTCTTGGTCATTTGAACCCGTTTTTTGGAATAAGTGGTTTCATACACAGAAGATTTCAATGTTGGAGACTGTCATGGAGTCAGAGCATCTATGAAGATTCTCAAAGGCTTGCTAGTTGATGCGGACCTGAACTAGGCAGGACCTATGCAGGGAACATAATTAAAGTTTATCATTTTTAAAGTTTTAAACTTTCTGCAAAGCATATGTGCAATAATGACATAGATACTTGTTCCTTTAACTTTTGTACATTGAGCTGTCAAGCATTTCAGACATTTCAGGGAACTGCCTATACTGTTTTAGGGTAAAGGGCAGCAGTAGGGCCTACTTAAGTGGTTTCCATGCTGAAGAACCAAGACTGCCAGTTTTGAGTGGCACAGATTAGTCTTTGAACCACAGACAGGTAATGGAGAAGACACAGTGTCTCTTTCTACCTTGTTTTAAGTGATCAGTTGGTTCCAGTTCAGGTAACAAAGGTTATGTCACTCATTAATTGGATAGATACTTCTGAAGTCAAATTATTCTCAGGCTCTGCCAATATATTGCCGGTCACTATTTGTTAAGGAACTAAGGGTGAGTTTTCATTGAACATTTCATAGGTTGGGAAACGTGGAGGCAGAAATAGGTGCCTTTTTGAAAGGCACCTTTTTAAAATCTTTTTGAAAAAGAGGTCAATTTTTAATTATATTAAGAAATATTATTGATTGTATAGATAGCTGACCTTTCCCCAGATTTTTTGCTTTTGTTTTTTGGGGGAGTGATACCCAGACACAAAACAATCCGTTTTTTTTTTTTTAGAGAAATGAATTCACTCATTTTTATTGTATTTTTTTTTTTTTCTATAGGCTGTCCGCCGAACAGAGTTCTGGTGTCTCATGGCTTTCAATAGATGATGAACTCTTTGATTCTGATACCAAGGTAAAGTACTCTATTGTGAAATAAATTTTCTTGTTCTGAACTTAGTTTTGCATAGTGTTTACTCTTCAACTGTGGCAGTGGTCTACCTATAACTGTTTTACGGTCTTGGGGAGTAGTTGGTCAGAAAAAAAAAACGTATTATGGTGATATGACTATTTGAATTTCTTTTACTTTCTTCCTTTGGAAAATGGGAAAGGGTGGCAAATACTTTGAGGAATTGGGGGCTGAAAAATGGCATGAACTGGAAAATACATAGTGACAGGAAAACTGTATGTGGAAAAGCTTTCCCACAGTAGAGGAAACTTGAAATTTGGTCAGGGTTTATTTGGTAAGTATGCTTACCACAGGAACTTTTCAGTCATCCTATTGTGATCTTTATAATCCTTGGGCCTGAATACATTTTAATGGGTTCAGTTACTCATTATAGTAACCATAGAATGACCCTGGTGTCTTTCAGTTCTGAAACGGTAAAGCATATATCATATGGTTTCCTTTTACTTTCTTGGACACTTATTGTGGGATGACACAGTTTTTAGTAGGAAACTTTTTCTCTCTTCCGTCCTTGGTTCTGTAATTAGACTCCAATATCATTGTGGAAATGTAGCCGGGCATGCTGGCACATGCCTGTAGTCCTAGCTCCTTGGAAGGCTGAGGCAGTAGGATCACTTGAGTCCAGGAGTTCCAGACCAGCCTGGGCAACATAAGAAGACCTCACCTCTAGTTTTTCTTTTATATGGAAATTCAGAAATTTAAAATTTCTGTCTCAAAATCTGTATTACAAAGAGATTCCCATGTGTTTCCTAAGCCATTTTATGAAGAGTATATTTAAAACTCTTCATCTAATTGAAGCATACATGTTTTTGCTCAAATAACGACCAGTTCCAGAAGCAGAGATTTTTTAATAACCATGTGGTAAGACTTTAATTTCAAACACTTTTTTCCCTGTACTTGTAAAAAGTATTCACAGAGCATCTTTGTATCACAGTTTAAAGCTTCAAATTTCAGCAGTTGTTGTATTTCATTCTTTAAATCATCATTTTTTTTTTTTTTTTTTTTTTTTTTTTTTGAGACGGAGTCTTGCTCTGTCGCCCGGGCTGGACTGCAGTGGCCGGATCTCAGCTCACTGCAAGCTCCGCCTCCCGGGTTTACGCCATTCTCCTGCCTCAGCCTCCGGAGTAGCTGGGACTACAGGCGCCCGCCACCTCGCCCGGCTAGTTTTTTTGTATTTTTAGTAGAGACGGGGTTTCACCGTGTTAGCCAGGAGGCTTGAGCCACCGCGCCCGGCCTAAATCATCATTTTAAAGGCCCTGCACTACTGTGAGCTACTGAATGTTACGAAACAGACTCCTGTGTATCCAAAAGTACCTAAAGTCTTGCATGTAAGAAGCGTTTTAATCATTTTTGAACATGAAGAAATGAGCAGACAAGTAAATTTCTATATAATAGAATGTTATAGGTAATATAATAGGAACAAGATGTCTAATAATAACATCTATTGCATTTCCAAAATATGGCTTAAATTAATGTTTAGGATATAAGTTCACATGAGTTATGCAAATATGTTATGAATAAGAGGGAAATCAATTAGAACTATGTCATCAGTAGGAAAGGGGATTACAGTATATTTTCTAATATCCTCTCACTGTAAGCTCAGATTTGGATTTTAGATGAAAATTTTTTAAACTTTCTTTTGGCCCCAACCTACACTCTTTTAAATATATCTTTTCAGGTTGTACATTACTCTATAATTTTGATTTCCTATTCTTTCTCCTGGTGGAATACTGATGAAACATTTCTTTTCTCTTTTATCTCTCTGTAGTAATAATGTTCCAGCTTTCAGGTAGCGGTAGATGACCATGTTTACCCGAATGAATGTCTTATTTTGTAGAAAGAAAATTGAAGTCTTTATTACAGAAATACTTCCAAAAAACAAATTGTAAATTCTAATCAGTATTTTTAGGGCTATCCTATGAATAAAAGTCTCCATATATATCTGTACTTCTCCATGTACCTACTGTAGTTAACATTATAAGAATGACACTCATAAATATTACCTCTTAAGTATGTCTAATGAACAAACTTGGGAAGAAATGTGAAATCCTTTCGTAAATTGTAAAGTGTGTATACAAGTGTAGGACAAAACGATCACAGTGGGATTCAGCAATTTAGTAAATATTGAGGATTCTTTTTGTAAATCTGAACAATGAAATGGCAGTAGCACCGAGGAAAAAAATGGGAAAGTTGGAACAGGCATGTCGATTTCTACTTTGGTTTACGTTAAGTTTCAGCAGACTATGGGAATATCCTAAGGGAATGTAGTGATTTGGCACTTGAGACCTTTCCAATGAGATTGTGTTTTTGACGTTGAAGGAATTTCTGTTCTTGACTCCTGACTGTGTGCTAGGCAGTGGGACACTGAATGTACAAGATGAAGCTTATGATAGAGTCATAGGAGCAGAAAATCAAGTAAAGAACAAACACTTCTAAGTCACTATAAGTGCTTCCTATAAAGAAAACAGAGAATGTCAGGTAAGGCCACATTGAAGAAGTGCGTAGTTAGGATGGGGACTGGAATGGGAGTAGAATTCTGTTCTCAAAGAAGATCTTTCTGAGTGTGACTTTAAGCTGCCAACTAGAGGACAAGAAGCAGCGAGCCATGTGACAGTCTAGAAGGAGGATACTCTGGACAGAGAGAACAATGGGTCACATATGTTTTTCATTTTGTTCTCAACATCCAAAACGCGGGAAGTGTGGTAAGCATCCTCGTCTCCATGTGTATTATTAGAATATGTAGAAAAGAGAATGTGTAAACACGGGCCTCTGACAGTTTAAATGCTTCATAATAAATGTTCTTCTCCTTCCCTTTTTACTAACTCTTGCTTTACTTTCTTGAAGTTATTTCTTAATTTTGAAAGAATTGCATACTATATCTAATATTTGCTTGCTTTTATTTAAATAAGGCATAAAGAAAAGGTTTCTTACTATTTTGCCATTTTTCCTGTCAGTAAAAATTTTACCAAAAATATTTTTATTTTTCCAAGCCCTTCCTTACCTAAATAAAGCAGCTTTCACAATGTTCTGCTTATACTCAACATAATGTACCCTGGAGTTACCAATCATGCTGAGTATCTTAACACTAAGATCATTTATGTAATTAGAAATATTTTAAATATTATTGTTGTAAGTATTATACCAAATGTGTGTGTGTTTTTTAATGCCCTCTTATTGTTGGTAGTGAATGCAAAGTAGAGTTAGGTATTTGAAGTTAGTTCCTTGCTGAAATATACACATGAGCTAATATTGTATCGGTCACTATGTTTCCTTTGGCTTTCTATGTTCAGTTTACAGAGTCAATAGCCATATGGAGATAAAAGTTTAGCTCGATCTGGAGAACATATGAGTTTCTCTGTTGAAATATTTTGGTTTTCAATACATGCTTTCCTTATTTCTAGGTCTCATTGCTTTTAAATCAGGAAATTTAGAACATGATTAGGAAATATTGAGAAATTCATTGTTTTTTCATTGAAACTCGTTATTTATTATAATTTCAACAGACTACCTTTGAAAATGTTCCACAGAAAGATGATAGTCATTTAACTGAAGCTGATGGTCAAAGAGGAAAAAGTACAATAAAGGAACAAGAAGGTAAGAACTGTATTTTATTTAAAAATTGGACAGAATGTTTATTTAAAAAACATGAGCTCTGTTATGTTCTAGTAGCCAAGGAAAATAAGGTATGAAGTGCATAGTCAAAAAGAGAGAAGTGAAATCGTGATACGTTGTATTTTTTGTAAGGTATTAGCAACCGATTTGATTAAGAGTGCCACTGAAGGAGCTGAATCATTAGTTCCAATTCAAGATACTCTAAGCCCTGAGGAAAGTCAGAAAATAAGGAAGAAGAGTAAATGAGGGAATGAAGAGTGAAAAAGGCAGAGAATATAGGGAGTAAATGAAGGAAAAAGAAGCAGATATATGCAATGAAGGGTGATAGAGTAAGATACTTATTTGGGGAGAATAAAGTGAGTTTCCAGTACCCAAACTTGTCAGAGAAGTCAAGCAAAATGTGCCACTCTTGCTGTTTTCCTTTGGGAATGCCTTAAGGATGGAGGTACCTGACCATGCAGAGCTGTTTTATCTGCGATAGAGGAATGTAATGTATGGTCAGCCATGCTTAAATTACATGTCTATAATTTAATATGCTATAAAATGTTGTTACTTCATGGGACAGTATCTTAGGGGCCAGAAGAAGAGAATTGGAAAGAAGAGGGTAGGATTAGTTGTAAAGAGATCAAGGAAGCTATAGGCTGATGAAAAGTTCATTAGTAACCTTATGACTTGTAATGCAGCTTAGATTTGGAGGATGTCATAGGGTGGAGCTTGAGGCTGGATTCCAGAAGGGCAAGTTGAGGTTAAGGAGTGTGGGATCACACTCAGTATAGACCAGAGCTTCCCAAATTTTAACAAATCAGCTGAGGACCTTGTTAGAAGTGCACATTCTGATTCCACAAGTCTGTGATTCTGCATTTCTGATAAGATCTCGGGTGATGCTGACCCTTCTTGTCCTAGGACCACACTCTGAGTAGCAAGGGTATAGCTGTGCCTTTAGAGAAATCTGGAAGAGCCATTGGATAACCACTCAAGATATAACAGAATCAAGGGCAACCATGATTTTGCTTTCATTTCTGAGCGTGTTTCTAGCCAGAGGGGAAGGAGAAAGAGATGAAGAAATAGAAATCATTGCTGGAAGATACTACTGCTAAACGAAGAGAAGAGAAGTCATGGGAATAGTCCGTCAAAAGGAGGTAGAAGGGACAGAATCAGGACAACAGATCTAGAGATTACGTTTGCAAAGGAAAAGGGATTTTGAGTGGAAGAGGAGGGAGAAGAAAGGAAGAAGTTGGCTAGTTAATTTTGGAGTTGATAATAAGGAAACTCAAGAGCTCTCACTTCTGATGGCTGCAGTATATTGGCACTCAAACAGAAAATTAGGTGATTGCTGTTCCAGGAATTACTGGAAAGAGGGAATGCTAGAATGGGGGTAAACCACAGGAGCTAATTTCTCCTCTCTGTAACTCTCAGACACCAAAGATGCATGTTTTGTCGATATGAGTTAATCAACTGAGGTTAAGTTAAATGTAGGCGCTTTGGCTGCTTTTTCTTTAAGGCAGCCAATTTTTTTAATAGGATGCCTGTTTTGTAAAAGTTTATCATGGATGACATGATATGCCAACCCAAATTAAGTTTAGGAATAAAAAATTACAAAGTTTATTCCTCGAATACAAAAGGCATTATTTTCTACAAATATTACACTCATTTTGGTATATGAAAGGTCAGTAGTAGCTAATAATTGTGTAGCAATGCATTTTTTATTAATATCTCAATGTTGAAAGCTTCTTATACATTATTTTTAGACATGTTTCACATACCTTCTTCCATGAGAGGATCAAAAAATTTAAGATGGCCAAACGAGAGGATATAAGAAATGTAGACCTATCAGTAAGCCCAAATAGATATGGGAAAAAAATGAACATTTTTATGAACTATTTTGCTGTAAGTGTGGATCCAAAGCAATCACTTCAGAACACTTTTCTCTGATGAGAAATGAATTAAACATTCAAATGAACTGTCATAACAACTGTGTGCTTCCTATATTACAGGACCAATTGAAGGACATGATAAATACTTGTTGTGGAATGGTATAAATGATTCTGATGTGTCGCATTAAAGACACACTATAGCGTTCTACCATCAGCTTTGGCATTTATCTGTGCAGGGTCATGATTTGTTCCGCTGGTTACAGATCACTTTTCTCCTCCTCAGCATGTCCCCATGGTTGTGTGCATACTTTTCTATTTTAGTTACAGATATTTGAATCAGAATCTTGCCTTTGAAATGTTAACTGCATGTTTTATTCAACCTATCTTCTTAATTTTCTTCAGGATATTTCTGTCATGTTGCTGTCCTGACAAAAGGACAGCACCCCTAAATCTAAAGTCATTATTTTTAAGGGGAAGCACTAAGATTCAGCTTGATACTAACTCTGGGTATATGGTTAGCTTTATCATATTTATACATAATTGATTATATGTCCCTTTTGCCTTCTAGATTCTCTTGAGCAATATCATCACTTGAAGGTAATAACTTTTCTATATTTATCTTTAATTATTAACCACATAGTGTATCAAACATATATTATTTATTAATCATTTTGTCTCAAAACCCTTTCAGCCTAAGGTTGAAATCAGAGTGTGTTTTGAACCAGGCAGTCAGAATGAAAGGTGTACAAGCATGCACATCAGGTAAAATTTTTTGCAATACAAATTTAACTCTGGAAAGAAGCACATTAAAATATTTTAAATGCTAACAATCTTCATATTCCTGTCTTTTTTTTCAAATTTGATGGATAGATTTGATATATATAATGCAGATATTAGTGTTGGTATCTATGTTTGAAAAACATTATACTTAGAAGTATAATATAGAGAGATTTTTAAAACATAAGCTCTAACTTAGATGTATCTTCTCTTACATGTTGCTACGCTGAAGTTCTCAGATGGGAATACCTATACTCATTCAGGTTCCACAGAGGTGAATTATGAGACTACAGTTTTTCCTGTGTTAGGAATGCTTGTTGGAATTCTGATCTTTACCTGGAGGAAAGCTTTCCTTGCTAACATGTCAATTTTGTATTAAGTTTAATTACTTCATCCTAGTGTTGTTAGACTGACAATCTGAAGCAAATCGGATGTTTGATTATTGTGTGTGTGTGTGTGCAGGGAATATCTTGGATTACAAAAATGAGGAAAGTAATCATCTTTTCATGGCTATTTGGCAGACACACTCATTTCAAAGAGTGATTCTGAAACTTTATAGGCTTAGGGTTTTTTGTACAATTAATAATTATTGCATAGAAGTAACCAACACCCTGAATTAGGTGTTTGTCATTGTCATGCAGCTTTCATACATTTTATTGTATATGTGTATGGCCATAAATCATATGTAGAATTGATGTTTCTGTCCTAAAATTTCACTCATAGAAATGATTGTACGTTATATATATTATTCAGCAGCTTTCTTTTGCTTACTCAGCATTATATTTTTGAAATCAGTTGATATGTTTTGTTCACACCTATTCATTTGATCAAAGAGATCCATCACTATTTTCAGAAGTAGCTCTAGTTGAGTTTACATTTCCTATAGTATTTCATGCTATGACAGTACCACATTTAATTAAACTCTTCATGGTGAGAAAAAGATGAAAACGTTAAACAATGATAGCAGATTCCAAAGAGCTTTTGTTTAAGTGGATTGTATCTATTGATTATTTACTATATCAAAAACTGAAGCTGAATAATTTAAAATATAAGCATGCACTTCCATGCATTCCAATAGCCATTATAACTCCGGCCCATGGAGCACCCATGATCTTATGACACATCACGTGTCTAACGGTTAAACGTAAGTTTCATTAGTAAAAGAAAGTTCATATTCCTGAAGACTCTTTATTATTAATAAACAAAGCTCTCATGGAAAACAAAATATATAATATCACTGAGTGAATCAAAGTAAGTAACACTAAAAAATAAAAATGTCAAAGATGATCATTAATAAAACCGATGTGAGCGAATGGCAAGTACAGGACATGCAGAATACAATAAGCCATGCGGGACTGGTGTGTTTCTGGGGGAATGGAGGACAAGGGACTGCTTCTGTTTTAGAAGGAATTTCTCCACGTTAGTCAAGTTGTATTATGATTGACATTCTAATAATGAAAACTTTACTTCCAGCTTTTTCAGCTTTGGATTTTAATAGTTTGACCTTCAGTAATGAGATTCACGAAAGATCTGAGAATTTGAAAGTTAGTGATCTATGTCCATTTGTATCTCCACCAATGACCAAAACTGTGTTGGGATCCACAGACTTGGGGCAGATGAACTTAAGAGTTCAAGAAAAGATGACCACTGCAGCTGCATTTCTATTTTGGAATTACACTCTCCGTGACCTGTGTGAGTCACAGCTACCAGAAAACAAAGAGAGCGAAGAAGGTAATAAAGAAGCATAGAGAATTCAGTCCCAGCATAGCTGTATGTGGCTTCATAACACCATAGTTGTAACTTTTAAAGAACCATTTTGTGGCAAAGTGTGTATTGTATTTACACCCTCCTTATGCAAGCTACAACCAAACAGAGGACCTATCAGCAGGGCATTTGTGTTCTTCCTTTAACCAAAGCAACATAAAAATAACAAAGAGAATGAGAAGGGTAAGTAATTTTGTTTAGGCTAGTATTTAATATAAACTTGAATGTGAGTCCAAGGATTACGCGTAGAACTTTGGGACTGGAGGGCAAATGTAGGCAAGGATGTAAAGATTGCCTGCTCAAACACAATGTGGTTTCTTTGTTTTTCCGTTTCCATAGGTCTGAATTTGTATCAGTTGTAACTATATAAAATGTAGCCCAAAAAGCACCTTCCAAACCCCCAAATTAAGTTATTTTTAATAATTTCTGTGACTTTATGTAGTATAGAATTGACTTTCCCAGTATGAATGGTATCCTTGAGAATTTGCTAGATGGTGTCTTTTTGGCTGTGTCCACATAGTGTATCACCTTGTTTTAATGAATAACAATTTACTAGGAATATTGGTTGGAAGGAAGGTGGTGTCATTTAAAAATAACATGAAAATACATTTTAATTTTACTAGGACACATAATCTGTTGAATAACTGCATCTAATATGTGTTCTACTTTATGTCCCAGTTAAATTCAGTGTCTTTAATCAGGTATACGATCAGATCTGTATAGTAATAAATCATAAAATATTTTGCACCCCAATAGTTTCATTTCCGTTTTTACACGGTGATATCCAGTCTCTGGAAAAAACACAAAAATTAGCCGAGCATGGCGACACGTGCCTGTGGTCCCAGATACTCAGAGGCTGAGGTGGGAGAATCTCTAGAGTCCCGGAGGCAGAGGTTGTCGTTAGCTGAGATCGCACCACTGTGTTCCAGCCTGGGCGACAGAGCAAGACCCTGTCTCAAAAACATGAAACAAAAGAAAAGGTGACTTGAAAGATTGTCCCATACAGTTTAGGACAAAGGGAATAATAGACATGCATAGAAAGAATGTACATTTCAGGTGGTAAAGATACACTAGAAAAATCAATGTAGTACTAAGTCAGCCTCAAGGAAAGAGACACCTGTTAATCTAAGGAAAGATAGCAAGAATCAAGGAATACTTCACACAGCAATGTGAGTGATGAAAAAGAAATGGTTAGAATGGTAGAGGAAAACATTTCAGATATCGAGAACAGGCTGTGCACTGGTAAAAGTATAAGTGGTTACAGTAATTCTGGAAATCATTGATCATAGGTGTAGTGTGTCGTTAAGAATGATACTACTGGGCTGGGCGCAGTGGCTCATGCCTGTAAACTCAGCACTTTGGGATGCTGAGGCACGTGGATCACCTGAAGTCAGGAGTTCAAGATCAGCCTGGTTAACATGGTGAAACTCCATCTCTACTAAAAATACAAAAATTAGCTGGGCATGGTGGTGCATGCCTGTAGTTCTAGCTACTCAGGAAGCTGAGGCAGGAGAATCAGTTGAACCTGGGAGGTGGAGGTTGCCGTGAGCCTAGGTCATGCCACTGCACTCCAGCCTGGGCAACAAGGCGAGACTCCATCTCAAAAAAATAAAATAAATAAATAACATGGCACTGTTATGAAGTAGAGAACAGCATACAGTGTTACCATAGATGTTCTTAGTGTATTTTTACACTTTGTTTTGTGTCCGATGGTTTTGTTTATTTATGTTGGGTAGATACATTTGTGAGAAAATCTTTGAGCTATTTTGTGTGGCTTGCACTGGTGATATCTAGTGTCCTGGAGGGGTTTGTTGAAGTTTTGGATAACTGGAAGTATTTCTTAAAGAAATAAATATTTCACTAAACATTAAGCTTCATTTAAACTCTCAATTTATTAAATAATACGTGTTATTTTCCATCTATTTTTATAATGACTTTAGCCTTTATCTAACTCTTCTACATAGTTCATTTTAAGTAACTATATGGATTTGTCGGCAGAACAAGATTTAGAAGTGACATCGGAGCAAGAGCCAGAAAGGCTTGAAGGAAGTGAAAAGAACAAGCCACAGGTGTGTACAAATTTGAACCTAAATACTGATTTTATGTTGTTTTCTTTGCTTTAATGACGTGACATAGACCAAATGAAATTACCTTTCACACTAGCTGTTTGGAATCAATAGATCATAATTTAATGTTTAGTTTTGAAAGCATTTTCAACGATATATAAACTTTAATATATTCTTAGAATCTATAGTATCTCATAGCTATTGTTTAACTCTTGATATAGAGGCAAACAATGTTTAGAATTTTATTTGGTCTTCCGTTTTTATAACCTCCTTACATGATAAAGAATGCAACATTAAATGTTGCATTTTACTCTTTAGCATTAGAAATGATCAACAATTGAGCAGTAAAGGCCACTGAGCTACATTCATGTGAAAGGAGCACTCATTCCCAGGAGTTCAAAATTTGGAGATTGATATTGCTGATCATTAGTGCCAACATTAAAGATTTATTTTAGCTTTTGGTCTTTAGTTGACTTCGTTGTCCACGTTCAGGGAGAAAATGGGCTTATAAAATCAACCCAACTGCTGATGAAGAGAATCGTGCTTTGCAAATTGGGATCTTTGGTGTTAAGATACAAACAGTAACTTTGTGACTTATTTCAATGCAGGAAATCAGTAAATATTACTAATTCGAAAATCCACTGTCATTAGTGGACCTTGTAATAAATTAGAACTGGATTTAAGCAGAGAGTGTATCTAGATACATAACACTATCTTATTATGATACATTATTGGAAATAAAATTTAAGAATTTGCTTTTTCTTTCTGATTGATGCTGATTTGGGCTCTGAATAATTTAAAGTTTACTCTTCTCCAGTTAGTAATCTTTAGAAAAAGTGCTTAAATGCACTGTAGGGCTTGGCCTTTAAGGTGTCATATGGCAAAATCTTTTTAGGAAAAGAAGACTTTGCAATGCTACAAATCATCTGCTAATTCATTTTTGGTAAATTTAACACATCATCATTTTTATTTATGTATTTATTTTTAATTTTTTTGTGGGAACATAGTAGATATATATGTTTATGGGGTACATGAGATATTTTGACTGAGGCATGCAATGCGAAATAAGCACATCATGGTGAAAGGGGTATCTATCTCCTCAAGCATTTATCCTTTCAGTTGCAAACAATCCCATTACACTCTAAGTTATTTTACAATGTACAATTAAGTTATTATTATTATTAAGTTATTATTGACTATAGCTGTCCTATTGAAACACATCATGAATTAAGTTGAGTGCAAACAAACAATGACAGTTTTCTGGTTCATGTTTCTCTCCTACTTCAGGGTGAGGTGAATTATTTTTTACTTCTTAATTATAATCCAGTGGTTTAGGAGGAGCTAGACATACAGTAATATTTTTAACAGTAGAATTTAAATTATTTTCTAATTTTAATGATTTTCCAGTTTTTCTTTGCTCTTTTTACTTAGGATTTCTTTGGCTATTGTGGCTCTTTGTTGGTTCCATATGAATTTTAGGATTTTTTTTCTAATTCTGTGAAAAATCCTGTTGGTGTTTTGATAGGAATTGGGTGGAATCTGCAGGTTGCTTTGGGAAATACAGTCGTTTTAATGCTATTATTTTTTTCAATCCATGAGCATGGGTTTTTTCATTTATTTGTGTCATCTACAGTTTCTCTCGCCATATTTTGTAGTTTTCCTTGTAGAGATCATTCACCTCCTTGGTTACATAGATTCCTAGGTATTTTATTTCATTTTATTTTTGTTGTTATTTGTAAATGGGATTGTCTTCTTGATTCAGTTCTCACACTAATTTTGATAGGAATTGGGTGGAATCTGTAGGTTGCTGCAGTAGAGAAATTCTACTGATTTTTGTGTGTTGATCCAGAAACTTTGCTAAATTCATTTATCAAATCTAAGGAGGTTTTTATGGAGTCTTTAGGGTTTTCTAGACATAAGAGCATACCATCAGTGAAGAGAGAAAATTTGATGTCTTCTTTTTTAATTTGGATGCCTTTTATTTCTTTTCTCTTTGCCGATTGCTCTGGCTAGGACTTGCAGTACTCTGTCGAGCAGGAGAGGTGAAAATGGGCATCCTTGTCTTGTTCCTGTTCATAGAGGAATGCTTTCAACTTTTTACCTCTTCCATATGATGTTGACTGTGGGTTTATCGTATATTGCCTTTTTTATTTTGAGATATGTTCCTTCTATGCCTAGTTTGTTGAGTTTTTATCATGAAAGGATGCTGGATTTTATCAAATGCTTTTTCCACATGTATTGAGATGATTGAAGGTTTTTGTCCTTAATTTTGTGTGTGAGATGAATCACATTGATTGATTTGCATATTTTGAGCCCTCCTTGCATCCCTGGAATAAAACACATTGGATCATGATGTACTTACTATCTTTTTGATGTGCTGTTGGATTCAGGCTGCTAGCATTTTGTTGTGGATTTTTGCATATCTGTTTACCATGGATACTGGTCTGTAGTGCTCTTTTTATGTTGTGTCCTTGTCTGGTTTTGATATCAGGTTAATATGGGCTTCATAGAATGAGTTAGTGGGGAGTCTGTCCTTGTCAATTTTTTGGAAGAGTTTCAGGAGGATTGGTACCAGCTCTTTTTTTTATGTTTGGTAGATTTTGGCTGTGAATCCATCTGGTCCTGGGCTTTTATTTGTTCAGAGGTTTTTTTTAGTAGTAATTCTGTTTCAGAATTCATTATTGGTTTATTCAGGATTTCTGTTTCCTCCTGGTTTAATCTTGGGAGGTTGTATGTTTCCAGGAATTTTTCCATTTCCTCTAGTGAATCATTGTTTATAATAAATAGTCTCTGATGATCTTTTCTATTTCTGTGGTATCAGTTGTAGTGTTTTCTTTCTTATTTCTGATTTTGATTATTTGACTTTCCTCTCATTTTTTGGTTAGTGTAGCTAGGGCTTTATCAGTTACGTTCATCTTTTCCAGGAGTCAGCTGTTGGTTTTTGATCCTAGGCATTGTTGTTTTGGTTTCTATTTCATTTGGTTCTTCTCTGATCTTTGTCATTTCTTTCTTTCTGCTTTGGATTTGGTTTGTGGTTAGTTTTCTAATTTTTTAAGGCACAATGTTAGGTTGTTAATTTATTCTTTGTATTATTTTAACGTACGCCTTTAATGTCATAAAATTCCAGTGGTCTTGGTATGCTCTATTTCCATTGTCATTTGTGTCAAAATCTTTTTTTAATTTCCATCTTCACTTCTTTGCTGACCCAAAGGTCATTCCAGTGCATATTAATTTCTATGTATTTCTATAATTTCTGACGTTTCTCTTGGTTAAGATTTCTAGTTTTATTCCACTGTGCTTTCAAAAGATACCTGATATGATTTTGATGTTTAAAAATTTATTGAGACTTATTTTGTGGTCTAACATATGGTCTATCTTGGAGAATGTTCCACGTGCTGATGAGTAGGATGTATGGCCTTTAGTTACTGGGTAGCATGCTCTATAAATACTGGTTAGATCGGTTTGGTCTGAAGTCCAATTTGAGTTCAATGTTTCTTTCTTGATTTTCTGTCTCAATAATTTCTCTAGTGGTGTCAGTGGGGTACTGAAATTCCCCACTCAGATTGTGTTGCTATCTATCTCTATATATGGTTCTAATAATATTTGTTGTATAAATCTGAGTGCTCCAGTTTTAGGGGCATATATATGTAAGATTGTTTTTATCCTGTTGCTAAATTAATCCATTTATTATAATATAATGACATTCTTTGTCTTTTTAACTTTTTTTTTAATTTAAAATCTGTTTTATATGATAAAAGTGTAGCTATTTCTGCTCACTTTTGGTTTCTGTTGGCATGGAGTATCTTTTTCCCTGCCACTACTTTTGGTCTATAAGTGTCCTTACAGTTAATGTGAGATTGTTGTAAGCAACATGCAGTTGGGTTATGTTTTTAAATCTATTCCACCAATCTATATCTTTTAAGTGGAGCATTAAATCAATTTAAATCCAAGGTTAATATTGATATATGAGATTTTGTTCCTGTTGTAATGTTATGTGTTTCCTGGATGTTTTAAAAAGTTCTTTGTTCCTTGTTTCCTTCTGTCTGTGTTTGTGGTCTAATGGAGTTCTGTCATGTTGCCATTTGATTTCTTTCTCTCACCCTTTGTGTAACTGTTTTTAGGAATCCTGTTAAATTTATTCTATGTTATTTACTTATTTATTTTAGAGACAGGGTCTCACTCGGTCACCCAGACTGGAGTGCAGTGGTGGAATCATAGCTCACTGCAGCCTCAAGTTTCCAAGCTCAAGTGATCCTCTTGCCTTGGCCTCTGATACAGTTTGCATGTTTGTCCCCTTCAAATCTCATATTGAAATGTGATTCCTGATGTTGGAGGGGAGCCTGGTAAGAGGTGTTTGCATCATAGTGTCAGATCCCTCATGAATGGTTTGGCCCCATCCCTTGGTGAAAGTGAGTTCTTGCTCTGAGTTTGCGTATGGTTGTTTGAAAGTGTGTGGCACTTCCCCTGCTGCATGCTCTCATACTCAACATGTGTCACACCCGCACTTCCTTTGCATTCTGCCATGATTGGAAGCTTCCTGTGGCCCTCACACCATGTTTCCTGTACAGTGTGCAGAACCATGAGCCAATTAAACCTGTTTTCTTTATAAATTAACCAGCCTCAGGTATTTCTTTATAACAATGCAAAAATGGCCTAACACAGAAAATTGGTACCAAAGATTGGGTGTTACAATAAAAATACCAGAAAACCAGAAGCAGCTTTGGGTTTGGGCAGTGAGCAGAGACTGGCAGAGTTTGGAGGGCTCAGCAGAAGACAGGAAGATGAAAGCTTGGAACTTCATTAGAGACTTGTTAAGTGGTCAGAACCAAAATGTGATAGGAATCTGGGCAGTGAAGGCCAGGTCTCAGATGGAATGAAAAAGTTGTTGGGAAATGGAATGAAGATCACCCTTGTTATGCTTTAGAAAACAGTGTGGCTGCATTGTGCCCAAGTCCTAGGGATCTGTGGATATTGAGCTTAAAAATGACGACTTAGGGTATTTGACAGAAGAACTGTCTAAGCAGCTAGGAGTTCAAGAAGTAGCCTGACTGCCTCTAGCAGCCTACAATCAGATACAGGAGAAAAGGAATGGCTTAAAGTTGCAACTTGTATTTAAACTGGAAGCAAAGTGTAAAGCTTGGAAAATGTACAACCTGGCCATGTAATAGGGAAAGAAAACGCCTTTTCAGGAGAGAAATACAATGGGATGTGGAGCAGCCACTTGTTACAGAGATTATCATAACTAAAACATAGCCAAGTTCCAATATCCAAAATGTTAGGGAAAATGACCTGAAGTTATTTCAGAGCTCTTCTAGGCAGCCCCTTTCATTACAGGCCCAGAGATCTAGGAAGAAATAATGGTTTCAGGGGTCATGCCCAGGCCCTGTTAACTCTGCTCAGCTCCATGACACTGCTTCTCATATCCATGCCACTCTGGCTTCAGTGACTCAGTGGGGCTCAGGTACAGTTTGGGCTGCCACTCCAGTGAACACAAGCCATATGCCTTGGTGGCTTCCACATGTTGTTAAACCTGCAGGTGCACAGAATGCAAGAGTGAAGGAGGCTTGGTGGCTTCCATCTAGATTTCAGAGGATGTATGGGAAAACCTGGGTCCAGGCAGAAGCCTGCTGCAGGTGCAGAGCCCTTGCAGGGAAAAAAAGCCTCTCCTAGGGCAATGCCAAAGGGAAATGTGGGGTTGGATTCCCCGCACCAAGTCCCCACTGTGGTACCACCTAGTGGAGCTGTCAGAAGGGGGTTGCTGACATCCAGACCCCAGAATGGTAGATCCACTAGCATCTTGCACCCTTTACCTGGAAAAACCACAGGCATTCAACTCTAACATTTGACAGCAGTCACAGGGGCTGCAGCCTGCAAAGCTACAGGAGCAGCGTTGACGAAGGCCTTGGGGGCCTACACCTTGCACCCATGTGCCTTGGATGTGAGACATGGAGTCAGAAAAAGGATTATTTCAGAGCTTCAAGATTTAGTGACTTCCCTGCTGGGTTTCAGACTTGCCTGGGGCCTGTTGCCCCTTAAATTTGGCCAATATTTCCCTTTTGGAATGGGATTGGTTACCCAATGCCTGTAGCATTCTTGTATCTTGGAAGTAAATAACTTCTTTTTGATTTTGCAGGCTCATAGGTATAAGGAACTCATCTCCAAATGAAACTTTGGACTTGGGTCTTGGGACTTTTCAGTTAGTGCTGGAATGAGTTAAGACTTAGAGGAACTGTTTTGAATGCATGATTATATTTCAAAATGTGAGAAGGTCATGAGATTTCAGGGGCCAGAGGTGGAATGATATGGTTTGGAAATTTGTCCCCTTTAAATCTCCTATTGAAATATAATTCCCAGTGTTGGAGTTGGGGCTTGATAGAAGATGATTAGATGATGGGAGCATTTGGCTCATGAATGGTTTAGCCCAACCCCTTGCTATTAAGTGAGTTCACATGAGAGTGGCTTGTTTAAAAGTGTGTGGCACCTCCCTTCTCATGCTCCTATTCTCACTCTTGCTATGTGATGTGCCTGCTTCCCCTTTGCCTTTTTCCATGATTGTAAGCTTCCTGAGGCTCTCACCAGGAGCAGATGCTAATGACACACTTACTGCACAGCCTGCAGAACTGTGAGCCAATTAAAGTTCCCTTTTTGTAAATTAAGCAGCCTCAGGTAATCCTTTATAGCAAGACAAGATTTGCCTACTATAGCCTCCAAGTAGCTGGGACTAAAGGCATACACACCACATCCAGCTAATTTATTTTAAATTATTTTTATAGAAATGCCATCTTGTTACATAGCACAGGCTGGTCTCAAATCCCTGGCCTCAAGTCACCCTCCTGCCTTGGCCTCCTAAAATGCTTGCATCGTATGCATGAACCACTGTACACTAGCTATGAATTTTACACTTCAGTGTATTTTTATGATGATGAACATCGACAGCTGTTTTCCATGTTTAGGCCTTCTTTGAGCATTTCTTGTAGGGCTGATCTAGTGGTGAAGAATTCCCTCAGCATTTGCTGGTTTGGGAAAGACTTTTGTTCTCCTTCATTTATGAAGCTTTTTCTAGCTGGAGAGAAAATTCTAGGATGGCAGTTTATTTCTTAAAGCATTGTGAAAATGGATCCCAGTCTCTTTTGCCTTGTAAGACTTCTGCTGAGAAGTTGACTGTTAGTTTGATCAGGTTTCTTTTATAGATGACTTGATGCTTTCTTCTTGATGATTGTAGGATTTTTTCGTTCCTGTTTAGACAGTCTGATATCTATATGGCTTGGTGTAGTCTTTCAGTGTATTCATCTGGTGTTCTTTGGGCTGATTGTGTGGGTGTGTGTGTTTGTGTATATACATATATTTCAGTGAGCACCTTCACTTTTTTGATATCCCAGGAGCCAGAAGGAAAAAGAATTATAAAATGTGGTGGGAAACAGAGTAGCTTAGTGAAGAAAGGTGCTTCCTTTCTCTTCCTGAAGCCCCAAATGTCACATCCTCTAAATCTGGCTGTTTGATGTAAAATCCAGGAGGTAAAGGCAGAAGATGGTGCATATTGTGTCTTTGTCTTTTTATTTCTGTTTCTTCCCAGTTAAATGGATGAAAATTCATATGAGGTAGCAAAGAATGGATGGAAATAAAAGGATAAAATTTAGAAGAGCCCTTTTGAAATTTTGGAAAATTCTGTCTCATTCACTCACACAGAAATGAAGCTAACTTTATACAAATGTCAGTGATAAAATTATGCTACTTATATCTTATAATTCTATATATAATCCTATATATAATAACATAAGCACAAAATATTTTAATGACTAAAATTGTGAAAGTTAAACTGTGAAGTGATACAATCAATTAAAACAGAATAATTTTTCAATTGGATAAAATGATAACAATTATCCTATCTATGAAACTTTCACTAAAGGCTGAGGGAGAAAGGAAGAAGCATGCAAGGAATGAAACAGAAGCATCAAGAAACTTACATGATGGCTCCACTGATGACCATATTGATGACGGGTTAATTCAACAAGGAGAGAGTGGAGAAACTGACAGTCAGCAAATTCCTAGGACGGAGCATGAAGAGTGCGATAGGTAAGCCTATTTAACAGTATTTAACAGTAGATCATTTCTACTGTACTATAAAAGTAACCCTAATTTGGGCAAATATCCATGATTGACAAATTTTACATTTTTACAAGAGATATTCAGCCTTGCCTGATCATAAAAATGCAAAAAAATAAAGAGGTACCATTTTTTGAATTATATCAATATTTTATTTAAAAATAATAACCAGTGTTGACAAATGTGAGGAAAAAGGGATTCTCATACACTGTGGGTAAATGAAATTGGTAAATTCTTCTTGAATGGTAATTTAGTAGTGTGTCAAAATTTCAACATTCCTTTCACCTGAGACCTTCACTGCTGGGACTAGATCCTACAGGAAGCCATGACTTGTGTTAATACATACACATTAAGGACTTCATACTATATAATTTACAAAAATTTAGTTTATACAATAAGATTGTTTCCTTCATTGATCACCTTTTATTCCTGTTGTGGAACTCAGTATTTTAATATGAGTCATTACTCTGTACATTGGATGAGGATAAAATATCCTAGAGTTAAATGGCTTTTATCAAGCACAAAATACTGCCCATGAAACTTTTAGTCTTTCTATGGTATTTATTTATAAATATGAACAAAGGATGATCAGCATCTGTAATCTAGAAATGTTCCAGTAGTCTTTTTAGTTCTATAATTTTATGAACTTATAATACCCTGGTTTTGCATTTTTAAATGCCATATGTATTTAAAAAATCTTCAAAGTGTTAAAATAGACTGTATACTCATTATGTAAGATTAGAAAAATGCAGCTAAATGACAAGAAAATTAGATGGTTCATGATCATGCCACTTAGGGAGGATGACCTTGAAAGAACTGCCTGTACTTGAGGGCTCACATTTCCTTTCCATTCACTCTAAAAGTCACTCCAGTAATTTTCTCTCCCATCACTCCTCCAAAATTGTTTTTCTCAAGGTTACCACTGATTTTCACTTTAATAAATCCAGCCATAATTTCTGAGACCCTGTTTTATTCAACCTACCGGCAACGCCTCACTCAACAGAGAACTCCCTGCTCCTCAGCACTTCCCTCACTTGGCTTTCAGGATCTCTCTCCCTCACCTGGCTTCTCCTGCCTTTCTAGTTCATCCATCACAGTCTGTTTGGCTTGCTTCTCCTCATCCCCTACCTTTCACATATTGACATATCCCACGGCTCAGTCCTCAGTCTTCTTTCTCATGACTGTTACTATCCTGTATATTGAGAATGATGTCCAAATGTGTATCTCCAGCCCAGGTCTCTCTCCTTAATTTCAGACCTGAATATCAAACTGCCTCCTTGACACCTCTCTTTGGTCACCTATTGAGTATTGCAAACTTGTCAGGTCCGAAATCGGGCTTCTGATGCTCTTCTTCATACCTTCCCCACAGGTAGTCTTTCCTACTTGGGTACATGGCAACTCATTCAGTTGCTCTGCCAATAAACCTTCGTGTCACCCTTGGCTCATCTCTCTCTCTCTCTCTTTCTTTCTCTCTGATACCTGACATCTAATCTGTCGTCACATCTTACAAGGCCTATCTTCAAAAAAATCCAAAAGCCAGTCACATCTTACATGTTCAAGCCACTACCATGTTTTGTCTCCATGAGTGTAACAGACTGCCAAATGATTTTGTTTCTTTTTCTTAATTCTCTGTTTATTAATTCTTAACCCAGAGGACCTGCTAAAACATGTTAGATGATGGCACTCCTCTGCTCAAAACCTAATTGCCTCTCATTTCTCTCAGAATATATGCCAATGTTCTTTCTAATACCTAAAAGGCAATGTGTGACCTGACCCGTTATCTCTCCAATTTAAACTTCTATTTTTCTATTCCTTTTGCTCCGTTCCAACCACACTAAACTTCTCGCTGTTTTGAAGCACTCCAGACTTACCTCTGTACTTGGCAGTTCACTCTGTCTGGGATGGTTTTCCCTCAGATATCCTCCCAGCTTGCCCCTTCTGTTCCTTCAGGTCTTTGCCTAACAGCCATGTTCTCAGCAAGACCCTTTCTGGTCATCCTACTATTTCTACCAGCCCTCCTCCCCAACACATAAAACCTTTCATTTTCCTGCTTTAGTTTTTTCCCTCTAGCGTAGTATATATTTTGACTATCGATTGTATTTGTTATTGCGTGTTTACTTCACTCTTGAGTGGGATTCCTATTTATTGCTGTACCCTCAGTGCCTAGAAAAGTGCCTAGCAGATAGTATGTATCAACTTAATAAGTACTTATTAAATGAGTGAATAGAATTTACCCTGGGTATATTGATTTAGACATTAAATGGATTCTTACTTAAAAACCAGTTTGACGTGGGTTCATTTTGACAATTTTATCTGGAAGTTATATTCATATTTTGGATTCTGTTGGCTCTTTCCATCTAGGGAGAAAAGCCCAATATTGTGGTTATTCACAAATTATTCTTTTTCTGGTAATTACGATAGTTTTAATTATGGTACTATGGACCAAAGGAATTGCAAATTTCATTTGTATTTTCTTAAGCAAAATAAAATATAGGGGTGGTAGATGTAATTGACTTGAAAACATTTTCCCAAAGCATTAGAAGCCTTCAGTGATTATAAAAAAAAAAAAAAAAAAAAAAAAAAAAGGCAAGGTTGGAATTCATTTCCATCTATAGTGGGAGAGATGTGCTAGTCAGGCACAGTCTCTTCTGATGGAGCAGCTGCTGATCTTACATAGGGTTTTGGTAAGACTGGAGTTGAAGGACTGGCTGAGTTTTAAAGGAACAAATGGGTTGACATCACCTGGAGCAGCATGGTTATCAGAGTGAGATTGTTGTGGATTGGCTGGCATTTCCAGGCTCACTGATTGGAGTGAGTTTGTCTCTGATTGTTTCTCTGTCAGAAGCAAGCAGCTGACATTGATTGGTTGGTGGGTGAGGCCACTGGTCATTGAGTAGATTTAAAACTGGTTCTGGGTAACTACTTGTTACCATGGCTACAGGTCAATCCTTTACTAAGTGGAAGGCAACTTTTACCAGATGCTTTATGCTAATTAAAACTTTACAGAAAAGCATCTCTGATTTTTTGCTTCTTTCTATTTTACACTTTCTTTTCAGGTTCCTAGGAATCACCTAGATGCCATGTGCCCAGACTTTGTGCTCACATCCTGATCTCTAAGTAGGATGACTTTCGTGTACATTTTTCCTTGTGTGCTTCCCTTACATTTTGCTGCTTCTGTAAAGCCTTCTTTGTGCTCAGAAAAACTTTTCATAGATCAGTTCTTACATATTGCATTGTAGTATAATTGTGTATTTATCAGTCTTTTGAAGCAGAGAATATACATTTCCTTGTATTTTTTTGGTACTTCATAACAGGTTTTTGTATTAAGAAATGAATTGAGATGGAAAATAGTTGCAGTTTTATAAAAATTTGGTTTATTATTTTTTGTCTGTAGAATTATTAGAAAACATTATCTTTTTAATGAATTTTTTGAAGTAGTGTCCTTGCCTTGCATATGAAGAAAGTAAAGAAAAATGAACATGAAGAATGGATCACAACAGAATCTGTGACTCTGCTAGTATTTAAGAAGGCCGATTTAATAACTCATGATCTGCTGCAAGTGACTGATGACAGCAGTTTAACTGAAATAGATGAGGAAGAAAGAAGGTAAAATTGATGCATTCTTTATTTCTCTGTAAAGGAACGTTAGCAGTGATTACTTTTTCTGAAAATAGAATAGTGAAATACTTCAAAGCTACAGAATACTCAACAGTAGCAATGCTGCTGAAAGATCGATTAAGATAAGGATGAGTGGGTTTGACAAGGAGCCGTTTCAATAAGTGATCACCATGGAACCCTGACTCTAGTGGATGACAGTAGACATTTCTAGAGAGAACATTATCTGAGAAAGGCAACAAAGAAATGGGTAATAAGTGAAGAGGAATATGGGATTCAAGGGTGTTTTCTTCTTTTATTTTAAAATAGAAGCTTTTAGAGTATGTTTGTATTCTTTTGTAGTTGATCCAGTAGAGAAGGACATGCTTATGAGATTTAATTTGGTTTGCACGCTTAAGCATTAGAAAGCTTGATACAGTGTTATTTAAAGATTTATAGTAAACTAATTTTTTTCCCTCCTGCTATTCATGTATAATTTTATGGTAAGAGGTTATTCCTTCAGAATTGAGTTGGAAATGGAATATTCTAATGAAATTGAACATAAAAATGATGACCGAAAAGTTAAACTATCATAGATAGATTCTTTAAAGTAATGTAATAATAAATGTACAAACATTAGGTCATACTAAATAGTATTTACATATTTCTTGGTGATTGATATTACAATACCTTTGACAATAGCATCATAAATAGCTATGATTTGGTGAGGTACTCAGAAATATCAGGTATGTCAACTCTATAGCTGTTTAGCTTCTGGAGAGAAGAGGATGATTCTGTTTTTGTACAGTAGAAAAGCAAGCTACTGATGATCTATCAAGGATTATTACTTTTAGATTATACAGTTTTGAAGTATAACAACCATGTTTTCCTGGACCAACTGACATGTATTGTGTGCTCAAGAAGCATTAGTTGAATGCAGGAATAAACGGTTGAATAGATGAATGAATGTCTGTTGATGGATCTTTAGAAAAAAATTGAATTGTTTGTTCATTGAAAGTAGGTTTCTAAAGTTGCCTATGTGTAAGTTCTTAGTAGTTTTTTTAATTGCAAGACTCAGAAAATATTACTTATTATTTTGGCCAGAAATAGAATGAAAGTCTGGATTAATGTGCTATCGTATCACTTAAAAACAGCTGAAAATAAATACTGAGTTCATGGCATGCTGTGAAACACACGTTTTGGAGCCAGAATTCCCGGGTTTGAATGCTGGCTCTGCTATCGACCAGCTGTAGGGCTAGGGAGAGTTACATGAGTTTCCTGTGCCTGATTTCTTCCTTTATAAAATAGCTGATACGTTACCCACCTCACATAATTGCAGTGAGGATTTAAGTGCATTTTGACAAGATGTACAGGGCTTAGAAGAAAGCATCCAACTGCCTACTAAGGCCTGAAAAGCTAAGTAATAACGTTTAAGAGGAGTTTCTCTCATATAAGAACATAAGTAATATTTTCCAAATAGCTTGTTTTCATTGAAAATGACAATAACAAAAAGTGGTAGATATCTTCTATCAAATAATGCAAGTAACCTGTTTTTCCTTTTGCTGTGGCTGTCAGAAAGCTTACTCTAAATTTAATTTTGGGTTGTATAATTAGTAGTATATTTTCTTTGACCCTTGATGTAGCTTTTTCTGTTTATAGTTTAATCTCCCTTGTATAAAATAATTGTATTTTCCATTCCCTGTAAAAAACTTACCTGTAGGCCAGGTGCAGTGGCTCACACCTGTAATCCCAGCACTTTGGGAGGCCAAGGCAGGTGGATCACGAGGTCAGGAGTTCAAGACCACCCTGACCAACACAATGAAACCCCGTCTCTACTTAAAATACAAAAATTAGCCAGGTGTGGTGGCACGCACCTGTAATCCCAGCTACTCAGGAGGCTGAGGCAGGAGAATCTCTTGAACCCAGAGGCAGAAGTTGCAGTGAGCCGAGATCATGCCACTGCACTCCAGCCTGGGTGACAGAGCAAGACTCTGTCTCAAAAGAAGAAAAAAAATTACCTGTAAACTTTAAGAATAGGAGAAATACATAACAAATACAGAGATTTTATACACAAGACAATAGTTTTAGATATTCTTTGTATTTTACATATTTGTCGTTTGCCTGACATGAACTTTTTGTTGTTTTAGGCTTACAAAGAAAACGTCTAATAAGAAGGACAAGGTATTGTTAAAAATATGTTATTGTGAATATGATTGTTAAAAAATACATTAGAAGAGGTAAAGTTGGCCGGGTGCGGTGTCTCACGCATGTAATCCCAGCACTTTGGGTGGCCAAGGTGGGTGAATCACGAGGTCAGGAGATCGAGACCATCCTGGCTAACACGGTGAAACCCCGTCTCTACTAAACAAAATACAAAAAATTAGCTGGGCATGGTGGTGAGCGCCTTTAGTCAGAGCTTCTTGGGAGGCTGAGGCAGGAGAATGGCCTGAACCCGGGAGGCGGAGCTTGCAGTGAGCCGAGATCGCGCCACCGCACTCCAGCCTGGGCGACAGAGCGAGATCCGTCTCAAAAAATAAAAATAAAAATAAAAAAAGAGGTAAAGTGAAAAAACAGAGAATCTGTGATTGTAAAGACATTTACTTTGAAAAAGTAATTAGAAACAGCAGCCAGCGACCCCTCCAAAGCACTGCTGCCCGAGGAATCCCCACCTACCCTCCAAAGCATTTCCGCCCACAGCAGCCCCCTGGAGTGCTTCTCTTTGCAACCTTCCATTGCCTCACCAGAGCCCTATCATCCCCAGCACCCAATGGAGTTCTCTTGCCAGTGGTCTGGGAGCACCTTTTCCCCCAGGCCATCCAGTGGTCAACTACAAGAGACCAGAGAACAAAGCCACAGGCCTAGTTGCAACCACCTAGGGTTAGAGCACTCAGCCCAGGAGTGTGGAGCTGAGCCTTGGCCCTCCGAAAGCATCCAGAAATGAAGCCATTCATCTATACCTACATTGCACCACAGGCAAACCCTCAAACATGAAATTATAAAGCCAAAGGACAGCAGCTTAAAAGGAAGAAAGGACATCAGCCTTCACAGATGAGAAAGAACCAGCACAAGAACCTGGCAGCTCTAAAAGCCAGTGTCTTCTTACCCCCAAATAATCACTCTGGCTCCCTGGCAATGCTGCTTAACCAGATGGAGATGGCTGAAATCTTCGAAACAGGATTCAATGTTTGTATGGCAAGGAAACTCATCAGGAAACAAGAGAAGGTTGAAACCCAATCCAAGTAAAGCTGTAAAACAATCCAAGTTAAAAGATGACATAACTATTTCAAGAAAGAACCCAACTCCACTTCTGGGAGTAAAAATTCCCTACAGGAATTTTGAAATACAATTGGAAGCATTAACAGTAGAATAGGCCAAGCTGAGGAAAGAATCTCTGACACTGAAGATTGCTCCATCAAGGCAAAACAAGCAGACAAAAATAGAAAAAAAAATGTTTAATGATCAGACCTCTGAGAAATATGGGATTGTGTAAAGAGAACAAAACAATGACTCAGTAGCAATCCCGAAAGATTAGAAGAGAGAACACCCAATTTGGAGAACATATTTTAAGATATTGCCCACAAAAATTTCCCCAGTCTCCCTAGAGAGGTGAGCATGCAAATTCAAGAAATTCACAGAACCCCTGTCAGATGTTATACCAGATGATCATCCCTAAGACACATAGTCATTTGGTTCTCCAAGGTCAACATAGAAGAAAAAATCTTACAGGCAACTAGAGAACAGGGGCAGGTTACTGTGAAAGAAACCCCAACAGGCTAAAAGCAGACCTTTCAGCAGAAATGTTACAAGCCAGAAGGGATTGGGGGCCTATTTTGAACATTCTTAAGAAAAGAAATTCCAAGAATTTCAGGTCCCACCAAAGTAAGCTTTGTAAGCAAGGGAGAAATGAAATCCTTTTCATTTGAAATACAAACCTTGAATATAAATAGTCTAAATGCTCTACTGAAAAAAACATAGGGTGGCAAATTGGATAAAGAAGCAAGTCCCAACTGTCTGCAAGAGACTCATCTCATAAGTAATAACCATTGGCCCAAAGGAAAAGGATGGAGAAAGATCTATCGGGTGAACAGAAAACAAAACAAAGAGCTGGGGTCGCTATTCTTACATAAGATAAAACAGACTTTAAACCAACAACAATCAGAAATGACCAACAAGGGAATTATATAATGATAAAGGACTCAATCCAACAAGAAGAGTTAACTATCCTAAATATATACTGTCACCCAACCTGGAGTACGAAGATGTATAAGTTCTCAGAGATGTACACAGAGATTTAGACAACCACACAATTACAGTGGGAGCGGTCAACCCTGCACTTACAGTGTTAGACAGATCAAACTTGACATGTGACCAGTTGTACCTAATAGATAGCTACAGAAAACTTCACCCAACAAAAATATAATATATTAATACATCCATCTCATTTGCACACGGCACATACTCTAAGATCAACAACATGTGTGGCCATAAAGCAAGTCTCAGCAGATTCATAAAAGCAAAATCATACCAACCACACTCTCAGGTGACAGCTCAATGAAAACAGAAATCAATACCAAGAAGATATATCAAACCATACTATTACATGGAAGTTAAATAACCTGCTTCTGAATGACTTTCGGATAAAGAGTGAAATTAAATTTAAATAATCATATGAAAATAATGAAAATAGAGACACAACATAGCAGACTCTTTGGGACACAGCTAAACAAATGTAAAGAGGAAAGTTTATAGTGCTTACTGCCTACATATGTAGTTAGAAAAATTTCAAATTAAGAACCAGTATTGCACCTGAGGAATTAGAAAAACAAGAACAAACCAATCACAAAGCTACCTGAATAAAAGAAATATCCCAAATCAGAGCTGAAGTGAATGAATTTGAGATGCAAAAATCCATGTAAAAGATTAACAAAACTGGTAATTGGTTTTTTGCAAGAATAAACAAGATTGACAGACTGTTAGCTACGTTGATAAGGAAAAAAGAAGATCCAAATAACTGCAATCAGAAATGACAAAGGTGACATAACCGCTGACTCCACAGAAATACAAAAAATCCTCACAGACTATTATGCACACAAACTTGAAAACCACACACACATACACACAAAAAAGGGAAACATTTCTAGAAACATACAGCCCTCCCAAGGCTGAACCAGGTAGAAACTGAAACCCTAGACAGACCATGAATGAATTCCAAAATGAAATCGGTAATAAAAAGTTTACCAATGGAAAAATAAAGCTGAAGGTCAGATAGATTCATGGCTGAATTCTACCAGATGTACAAAGAAAAGCTAGTATCACTCCTACTGAAACTGTTACCAAAAACTGAGCAGGAGGGACTCCTCCCAGACTCATTCTATGAAGCCAGTGTCATTCCGATACCAAAAACCTGCCAGGTAGACAACAAAAAAAAGAAAACTTTTAGGCCAGTTTTCCTGAATAACATGGATGCAAAAATCCTAAACAAAATACAAGCAAACTGAATCCAGTACCACATCAAAAAGTTAATATACCAGGAATGTGCAGGCTTTATTCCTGGGAGGCAAGGTTGATTCAACTATAAATCAATAAATTTGATTAACCACATAAACAAAATTGAAAGCAAAAACGACATGAGCAGCTCAATAGATTCAGAAAAGACTTTAGATAAAATTTAACATCTCTTCATGTTAAAAGCCCTCAGCAAAGAAAGCATGAAAAGAACACACCTCAAAATAATGAGAACCATCTATGACAAACCCACAACCAATATTATACTGAATGGGCAAAAGCTGGGAGCATTCCCCTTGAGAGCTGGAACAAGACAAGGATGCTCACACTTACTACTCCTATACAACATGATACTGGAAGTCCCAGCCAGAACAACGAGACAAGAAAAAAATAAATAAAAGGTATTTACATATGAAGAGAGGAGGTCAAACTATATATATATATTTTTTGCAGATGATATCAATCACTACCTAGAAAACCCCAAAACCTCTGCTGAAAATCTCCTAAATCTGATAAATGACCTCAGTAACATTTCAGGGTACAAAATTAGTATACAAAAATTAATACCATTTTTATACACCAATAAATATCTGAGAGCCAAATCAAGAATACATGCCATTTACAATAGCTGCAGAAAGAATCGAATACCTAGGAATACAGCTAACCAAGGAGGCGAAATCTCTAAAATAAAAATTATGAAGGAAATTAGGGATGACACAAACAGATGGCATAATGTTCCATGCTCATGGATAGGAAGATTCAATATTGTTAAAAATGACCATACTGCCCAAAGCAGTCTATGGATTCAACACTATTCCTATCAAACTATCGATGTCATGTTTATTTTATTTTGAAACAGGGTCCTACTCTGTCACCCAGGCTGGAATGCAATAGTGTGATCTCAGCTCACTGCAACCTCCACCTCCCGGCCTTCAAGCCATCCTCCCACTTCAGCCTTCTGAGTAGCTGGAAATACAGGCGCATGACACTATGCTAATTTTTGTATCTTTTGTGGAGAAGAGGTTTCACCATGTTGCCCAGGCTGGTCTCAAACTCCTGAGTTCAAGTGATCCACCTGCCTCAGCCTCCCAAAGTGCTGGGATTACAGACATGAGCCACCATGCTTGGCCCCAATGTCATTTTTCACAGAATAAGAAAAGACTATTCTAAAATTCAAATGGAACCAAAAAGCCTGAATCATCCAAACAATCTTAAGTGAATGGAACAAAGCCAGAGACATAACACTACCCAACATTAAAATATACTACAAAGCTACACTAATCAAAATAGCATGGTACTGGCAAAAAATAGACACACAGACCAATGAAAGAGGATAGCAAACCCAGCAATAAAGTCACACGCCTACAACCACCTGATCTTTGACAAAATTGACAATAGCAAACAATGGGGAAAGGGCTCCCTCTTCAAGAAATGGTGCTGGGATAACTACCTAGCCACATGCCAAAGATTGCAACTGGACTCCTTCCTTTCACCATATACAAAAATTCACTGAAGATGGATAAAAGACTTAAATGCAAGACCACAAATAATGAAAATTCCAGTAGATAATCCTAGGAAATGCCATTCTTAACTTCAGCCTTGACAAAGAATTTATGACTGAGTCTCCAAAAGTAATTGAAACAAAACAAATATTGGCAAGTGGGTCCTATTTAAACTAAAGAGTTTCTGCCCAGCAAAGGAAACTATCCACAGAGTAAAAATACAGCTTACAGAATGGGAGAAAATATTCACAAGCTATTTATCTGAC